GTGGCCAGCAGGGTACTGTACTGGCTTGCCTTAGTAGCGTTATTGAAACAAGATCAGACATTATAGCCATGCAAGGCAGTCTGAGGCTGGGGACAGAGAGGGTGAAGGATAAATTCTGCCCACTTTGTGTTAGTGCGTCTAGAATCGATGACTGTATGTACCTAGTGAATGCCCAAACTATACAGAGGCAGCAACAATGTGGACCCAGCCATGGCGGCCATCTAGGATAGGGTTGCCGCCTGTCCGGGATTTACCCAGACAGTCTGGTTTTTGAGTCCTGTGTCCAGGTTTCAGGACAGCTGACACCCGGACACAAAATATTTAGTGCCAATACCAGCACTTTACATTTTTTGACAGATGCGGCTGTCTGAGACCTTCCTGTGAGCCGCGGGTGACTGTAAACAGGCGCTGGCCCGCACATCTCCTCTTCCATCTTCCAGGCACCACGCTGCCTGCCTCCTGACCCCTGGTGAGACACCACACGGCCCGTACAGCACTCCTGAAAACCTGCAAAGCACACCTGAGAGCCCCATAGCCCACCTGAGAGTGCACATAGCCCACATGAGAGCTAGTACGGGCAGCTGAGAGCACACAGAGTCCACCTGAGAGGCTGCACAGCCCTGGCGAAAGCCCGCGCAGGGCTCCTGAGACCCTGGAGACATCAGGGCACCACCCCGGAACAACAGAGTATGGAGCTTCATATTATTTTGTATTGCTGTATAATGTAATGCTGGGATTTGTAGTCCTCTATGGCCGGTCTCCTTACTCCCTCCCCTGGCAATCTCTCCTCGCTCTCTACTCTAAATTCTCCCAAAAAAATTGCCATGCGTGGCACTAGAGTGTTCGGGTTTCCCTGAAAGAAATGGTGGCAACCCTAATCTATGACATCCACAGCACTATCATCTATGGGTGGTAGCGTGCTCAGTCTTCCCCTGGCCGTGCATTGTGCTCAGTCTTCCCCTGGCCGTGCAGCGTGCTCGGTCTTCCCCTGGCCGCGCAGCGTGCTCAGTCTTCCCCTGGCCGTGCAGCGTGCTCAGTCTTCCCCTGGCCGTGCAGCGTGCTCAGTCTTCCCCTGGCCGTGCAGCGTGCTCAGTCTTCCCCTGGCCGTGCAGCGTGCTCAGTCTTCCCCTGGCCGTGCAGCGTGCTCAGTCTTCCCCTGGCCGTGCAGCGTGCTCAGTCTTCCCATGGCCGTGCAGTGTGCTCAGTCTTCCCCTGGCCGTGCAGCGTGCTCAGTTTTCCCCTGGCCGTGCAGTGCGCTCAGTCTTCCCCTGGCTGTGCAGTGTGCTCAGTTTTCCCCTGGCTGTGCAGCGTGCTCTTTCTTCCCCTGGCTGTGCAGCGTGCTCAGTCTTCCCCTGGCTGTGCAGTGTGCTCAGTTTTTCCCCCTGGCTGTGCAGCGTGCTCAGTCTTCCCCTGGCTGTGCAGCGTGCTCAGTTTTTTCCCCTGGCTGTGCAGTGTGCTCAGTTTTTTCCCCTGGCTGTGCAGTGTGCTCAGTTTTCCCCTGGCTGTGCAGCGTGCTCTTTCTTCCCCTGGCTGTGCAGCGTGCTCAGTCTTCCCCTGGCTGTGCAGCGTGCTCAGTTTTTTCCCCTGGCTGTGCAGTGTGTAAGCGCTGACAGCTCTACAATTATCTATAGTAACGTTGTGTTATTAAAGGTGATATGAGCGTCGGATCGGAAGGTGTGCACCGTTTAGAGGAGCTCGGGGATTTGTAATTGGTGACTTGTTTACTGGTGTGTTCAGGTTCCTCCATGTTTACCTCCACATCTAACATCCCCAGGGGAGTGGAGATGGCACTGAGGGTGTTACAGAGCATCTACTCTGATGATATAGTCTGCATGTTATATATTCTGCTTTGAGCCAATTTACAGATGAACCCCGGGCAAAAATACTTTCATTTAAGTAAATTCCTCCATAGCCGCAAAGCCACTTTGTGTACAACAAATGCCTTTACAATCCAAGATATTACCTTGTAATATACCATTATAAACCTGTATACCAGCTATAGAGGACTACAAATGCCAGCAATACATTATACAGCAATGCAGAATAATATGAAGCTACATACTCTGTGCTGCTCGGGGGTGCTGGCCTAATGTCCTCATGGTCTCAGGAGGGTTGTTCAGGGTCTCAGGAGGGCACATAAGGTCTCAGAAGGCAGTGGGAGGTCTAAGGAGGGCACAGAGGGTCTCAGGAGGCAGTGCGGGTTCTCAGGAGGGCACAGAAGGTCTCAGGAGGCAGTGTGGGGCCTAAGGAGGGCACAGAAGGTCTCAGGAGGCAGTGTGGGGTCTCAGGAGGGCACGGAAGGTCTCAGGAGTCATTGTGGGGCCTAAGGAGGGCACGTAAGGTCTCAGGAGGCAGTGTGGGGTCTCAAGAGGACACATAAGTTCTCAGGAGTCATTGTGGGGCCTAAGGAGGGCACGGAAGGTCTCAGGAGGCAGTGCGGGGTCTCAAGAGGACACAGAAGGTCTCAGGAGTCATTGTGGGGCCTAAGGAGGGCATGGAAGGTCCCAGGAGGCAGTGCGGGGTCTCCGGAGGGCTGTGGAATGTCTCAGGAAAATGCCCAGTATCAGCACTGATACCGGTAGCTGTATCAGTGCATCCCTAGTCAAAACTATGTAATGTACAGCATAGCTTAGAAAGTACCTCAGTCAGGACTATGTAATGTACAACATAATGTACAGAGGTCAGGTCTATGTGTCATAGTGCCCCTTATCTTGCTGGTCATTGGATGGAAAACACCTTCCAGAATCACTGGAAGGAAAAAGGCTCCGACATCATTGGTCAGTGAGAGGAAATAATGCCACATGATGGTCTAACATGAGGAAACAATGTAACATGTCAGTGAGAGAAAAAATGCCACGATGAGAAAAAAAAAATGAGCCGGCCCATGGCTGAACGGATATATATACACACACACACACACACACATTGTGCAATGTACTAATACAGAGACACGACGAGCACTGGCTGTGTTATATAAACCACAACAATTAGTGAGCCGGGTGTCACACGGGGCCACACAAACCACATACACACTAAGCAGGATTTGGCACACATTATATTTACAATTTAAAATCCTCGACATCTAGGTCTGTGCCAGCACCAACCTTTGGTTTTTTTTAAGCTTTATTGGCAATGTACAAAGTGTACACTCTATTTAAGGTTTCTGCACAGCGCTTGTGGCACTATGTCGCCCACAAGAAGGCACCCTGCGTTGGCTGTTTGATGCATGTGACGATTTAATAAAAAGTGCATTACTTCTTGCACACATCATCGAGTGCTGGTGACTTCTATTATGGACTGTATCTGACACTCCGCCATCCATGTTGTCACTTCAAGCACCAACCTCTCATCCAAGGTCTGTACACTGTATGGAGTGCAGGTGATTTTTATTATCTTGTGGTGTGTGTGGTACATTGTAAAACATTATTTTCTGCGTGCCCCCGTGGTGCCTGGAAGTAAGCCAGTCACCACATGGAGTCTATTTATAAACAATACACAGAGCCATTCAGCCCGGTGAATCTCTGTGAACATTTTTGTGCAAAAACGAACATTCTTGATACATTTGCTTTACAAGTTGAATTTAAATTGGAAAGTAAAAGTATAATACTGCAATATGGCCACTAGATAGCGCCGAGGAGCATAGGAAATATATAGGTTTCTATACTCCTCAGCGCCATCTAGTGGCCATAGTGCAGCATTGCATTATTACATCGCAATATACAGTGCATGCAACGTGCAAGGCATTTGTTTTTGCCTCTATTCGCACAAACCGAACCTTCAGAGAGATCCGCTGGGCTGAATGGCTCTGTGAATCGCTTATAAATAGACTCCCAATTGTGAACGGGCCCTAAATCCAACATTTTGAGTTGCCGCCAGAACAGGAATAGAGGAGATATTTTTCCCATGGGGACCCTTGTGTCTATGTCTTCTGTCTAAAACTGTCTACAAACTGGAGCAGATATAATCTGGAACGGCTGTGCATGGCAACCAATCAGCTTCTGTCATTCATTTTCAAAGCTTAACTGAACAAACTCAAGAGAGAAGCTGATTGGTTGCTATTTTCAGCTGCTCTGGTTTTGACAAATCCCCCCCCCCATTGTGTTTTGCTTGTTGATCCCCTGAGCAAATGCTGGATTCCATCATCAACACTAAACAGTGTGGATGAAGGATCCTCCCCTGCTGGCTATTGTATTCAGACAGCCAGCACCCGCAGTTTTCTGAATACCAGAACAGTGATTGAAGCTGATTGGCTGCAATCAAAGTTTGTCAAAGCCGGGTGGGGTCACCATGGTCACAGGAGCCAGCCAAAACCCTAACATTTTATGGCCGGCTTTAGAGGGGATTATCTCTCAATGGAAAGATGTCCTTTCACTTCCTGTTGAGCCCTTACAGCAGGAAGTGAAATCTCCCTAGTGAGACGGATGGAGAGATGGAATCCGACCTAGGCTGTAGCCACGTACCATCAGACAGCACGCTATCATGAGATCACTTATCTTGATGACTGTGCTCACATATCTGACCTGGGTGGGGTGGGGGTTCTCTTTATATTGGGAAGAATATAAACTGCCTTTGGCAATCTCCTGAAAACGCCATTTGCCTGGCTCTTCCCGGATTTAATCGTTTCTGATGCATTGAACAAGTTTGTAAGTCAGAATTTGGCTTCACTTGCTGCATGCTTGTTGTGGTCAGAAACTGAAGGTGGAGGCAGCCGGGAATGCATCATTCTTAGACAGCTGTCTGCAGTGGAATATGGGGTCTGTGTGTCCAGATAGAGGCATACTGCCACCTCTGCGCAGCTCCAATCACTGCTGTGCACTCAGGTAACCCGAGCATTACACTAGCAGGAGCCACGCCCACTGCCTGCTCCCTGCCCCGCCCCTCACACCTCTACAGTGACAATCTGGGCGCCGCCCCGCCTCTCACATGAACGCGCACGCTGCCCTGCCTCCCGCGGGAGCGCGCCCGGGCTGTAGTGTATTGAGCTGCAGTCAGTGACACGAGGGTCCGGTATGAGGAGGTGACTCCAGTGTCTTTGTGTCACCTGGGGACCCCACAGCTCCCGAACACAACATGGCTATCGCACACATCGCCACGGAGTACGTCTTCTCCGACTTCCTGCTGAAGGAGCCGCCCGAGTCCAAGTACAAGGGGCTGCGGCTGGAGCTGGCTGTGGATAAGATCGTGTCCTGTATCGCGGTGGGGCTTCCCCTGCTGCTCATATCGCTGGCCTTCGCGCAGGAGATCACCATGGGTGAGTGCTGTGCTGAGGGGTTACTCCGGGGGTGTGCTCTGCCAGAATCAAAGGGGGTTTCCTCCCTGTCTGTCATCTCCGTCCATGGAACAGTGACAGGTACTCCGGGGCTGGGAGTATGCTGTGCCAGACACAAAGGGGACCCTCCCTGTCATCTCTATCCCAATGACGGGGGTATTCCAGGGCTGGGGGTGTGCCGCACTGGGCTCCCCACCTGTCATCTCCGTCCAAGGCACAATGACAGGTACTCCGGGGGTGTGCTGTGCCAGACACAAAGGGGGATCCTCCCTGTCTGTCATCTCCGTCCATAGAAACAGTGACAGGTACTCTGGGAGTGTGCTGTGCCAGACACAAAGGGGGTTCCTCCCTCCCTGTCTGTTATCTTTGATACAATGATGGGGGTATTCCAGAGCTGGGGGTGTGCTGCGCTGGGCTCCCCACCTGTCATCTCCATCCTTGGCACAATGACAGGTACTCCAGAACTGGGCTAGACACATAGAGCGGTCCGGGCTCCTCCCTGTGTGCCCACCTGTCATCTTTGTCCTGTTGTAGTGATGGGGGGTGTTCAACCCCTTCCTGTGTCCCTGCGGTGCTCCTGGCAGTGTGATTCCTGTATTCTGTATTAGAGCTGCAGCTAACGATTATTTTCAAAATTGATTAGTTAGCCGATTATTAAGTTCGATTAATCGGGATAATTAAACAAAAATGGCTCCAGTGATGGACTACTAGTTTGTATTGAGATTGTAGGCCATCACAGGGGCAAGCTTGGAGCGGTGGAATTAAAAAAAAAAAAAAAAAGTGTGGTGTGCAATATAGTGAAATGGAGTGGAGCCGTGAACAGGGCCAACTAATCGAAAGCCGATTATTCGATGATTGAAAATGTTGACAACTTTTTCAATCATCGATTATAATCGACTTAGTCGGTTAGTTGTTGCAGCTCTATTCTGTATACAGTGTTGTCACCATGAGACAACACATGGCTGTCAGACACAAAGTAATGTGTGACTACTGAGAACAGGACATTTGCAGAACAACAGGAGTCGTCCATAGCAACCAGATTCCATGTTATACCCCGGGAAGGGCCCTCTTCTCTTCCTGTGCCATGTTATACCCCGGGAAGGGCCCTCTTCTCTTCCTGTGCCATGTTATACCCCGGGAAGGGCCCTCTTCTCTTCCTGTGCCATGTTATACCCCGGGAAGGGCCCTCTTCTCTTCCTGTGCCATGTTATACCCCGGGAAGGGCCCTCTTCTCTTCCTGTGCCATGTTATACCCCGGGAAGGGCCCTCTTCTCTTCCTGTGCCATGTTATACCCCGGGAAGGGCCCTCTTCTCTTCCTGTGCCATGTTATACCCCGGGAAGGGCCCTCTTCTCTTCCTGTGCCATGTTATACCCCGGGAAGGGCCCTCTTCTCTTCCTGTGCCATGTTATACCCCGGGAAGGGCCCTCTTCTCTTCCTGTGCCATGTTATACCCCGGGAAGGGCCCTCTTCTCTTCCTGTGCCATGTTATACCCCGGGAAGGGCCCTCTTCTCTTCCTGTGCCATGTTATACCCCGGGAAGGGCCCTCTTCTCTTCCTGTGCCATGTTATACCCCGGGAAGGGCCCTCTTCTCTTCCTGTGCCATGTTATACCCCGGGAAGGGCCCTCTTCTCTTCCTGTGCCATGTTATACCCCGGGAAGGGCCCTCTTCTCTTCCTGTGCCATGTTATACCCCGGGAAGGGCCCTCTTCTCTTCCTGTGCCATGTTATACCCCGGGAAGGGCCCTCTTCTCTTCCTGTGCCATGTTATACCCCGGGAAGGGCCCTCTTCTCTTCCTGTGCCATGTTATACCCCGGGAAGGGCCCTCTTCTCTTCCTGTGCCATGTTATACCCCGGGAAGGGCCCTCTTCTCTTCCTGTGCCATGTTATACCCTGGGAAGGGTCCTCTTCCTGTGCCATGTTAGGAATTTCTGCTCTTCACTTCCTGTCGTGCAGAATTAACAGGAAGTTAGAGGAAATCTCTCCAAAGTGATGGAATTGGAGAAAACACCATTTTCCCATTAGAAGATTTCCTCTCTATTCCTGTTCTGGTGACAACTGAAAATTTTGGATATTCTCTCACTTTCATCCCAGGGACAGTGGTCACCAGAAGGAAGAGAAAGTGAATCTCCTCTGTGTGGACACAGCCAGCATTAACCTGCCAGGGGTTCTAACCCATAACCACTCCATCCAAAACTATAAATGAAGTGTTGGCTTTGGTTCACTGTTCACCAAATGAGCAAAGTCCATGTTTACTGTATGGTCTGGTGTGCATGGACAGTGGTGGATCTGGGGTGCATCCCGTTTCCGGGGGGAGGTAGAGCCTGCTGCCCGTGTGAAAGGCCCGGGTTGTCAGAGATTGGCCCCAAAGGTGCAGCAAGCAGTTTTTTTAAGCACACTTAGAGTGCACTTCCTGTCATTTTGGAAGCACTGCTTGTAGGGTTCAGCGATGATGATCCAGCTCCTGTTTGGGCTGTGCCAAGTCCAGCTAGAGGTGGGTAGGGATTGGGGTGCTTCTTGGAAGTCCTTCTACCCCTTGCTCTGGCATGTCTGTGGGCACGGTGAGTCCTTATACAGACATGTGACATTATTTAAGGGCCGCGTTGTTTCCTGACACCCGAAAACGGCAAAATGATAAGAATGTTGATGTGGTCAGAATAACGCAGGAATCATGGAGAAACCAAAGAACTCCCTTTGTAGTGGGGTGACCCCTCCACTCTGGGGGTCAGGTGCTCCTTTATGTGTAGGGGACTGTAGTCCAGCACTTTTAGTGTGTTCCTCGCTCCCCTGGCGGTCAACGCTCACCTCTTTTCAATGTGGAATGTTCCTCGGCGTCCTCACATACAGCTCAAGTCAATAGACCTGCATTAGACATGATTACATCAACCTACCTTAGGCCACAGGGGCCGAAGAGGCTGCAGGGACCGGTCTTGGAGCCAGGTGGGATTGAGGATCGGGTAAGTAAACTAACCTTTTACTGTTCCCTATTCATAAACTAGCAATTAACCCTTGCAGCGCCGGGGCAGCTTTAGTGCAAGGGTGTTTTTTTTTTTTTTTCGGTTTGCTTGGAGATGGGCTTTAAAAAATGAACTGGCTGGATTGAATAAAAACAGCATGAAAACACGGCTACATATATCTGAAATGATTTTTTGGGGTAACATACACTTTAAAGTAGGATGCAATCCTCATAGCTCATCCCTCTAGCTCAGGGGTAGGCAACCTTGGCATCCCAGCTGTGGTGAAACTACAAATTCCATCATGCCTCTGCTGTGGGAGTCATGCCTGTGGCTGTTAGGTCCAGTGCCTCATGGGACTTGTAGTTCCACAACAGCTGGAGGGCCGAGGTTGCCTCCCCCTGCTGTAGCTTCACTTTCGCATTCATGTACTGTAGTAATTTTCACCTATGTGCCCCCAGTGTGTACTTTTTGCTTTCGCTGTATCCAGATTAGGGATGCGCTGATACCGTTTTGCTTGGTATCAAGTACGAGTACCGATGTCTATCCTTCGGGACTTGCCGATGCCGAGTACCAATACTGGTACTCATTACCCATGGCCCAGCTTCCTGATTGCCTGGGAAGCCAGCTCCATGCTGATTGGCTAGGAAGCCGGCTTCCCAGCCATTTAACATCAGGCCAGCCAATCAGGAAGTTGGGCCATGAGTCATTACTAATCCAGAAACCTTTTTGTTTCTCTAAGTTCCGAGAAGTGCAACAATCAGTTAGCTGGGCAGAGCTCCAAGCTCTCCCGAATCTGCCCACGTCTCCAGTGTGTGTACAGCGCCCGCACCGCCTGCGTGATCGGCCCTCATCCTGCTACTACTGCGCAGCTTGCCCAGCGCTCTCATTCAGAAATCCTCTAACAGCATCAAGCAGGCGATGCGGGCGCCGTAAACACACCGGAATCAGGCAGCAGTAAAGCAGCTTGGAGAGCGGTGTCTGGACCAGGGGACATCTGTGGTATGGTGATGACCTCTGCTGAGGATTGATGTGAAGTGGAGGTTGTGTCGCCATATTATCAGATCTGTTTGGCTGGCTCGGTGTTGATTGGCTGGGAAGTCGGCTTCCCAGCTAATCAGCAAAGAGCCGGCCAAACAGCCGGCTCCATGTTCCCATGTGGCACTGCCGGTCAGAGGAAATCTCCTTCTGACTGGAAGTTCCAGTATCGGGAAAAGTATCGGAGCATTTGGGCGAGTACGAGTACTCGTCCAAGTACTCGGTATCAGTACCAATACTAGTACAGTGGTACCTCGGTTCACAAACTTAATTGGTTCCACGATTCTGGTCGCGAACCGAATCACATTTTCCCATAGGGTTCAATGTCGGGTTAATCCGTTCTGAACCATATGAAAAAAAATTAATCACAATTTTCTTTTTCCCACCATGCTTGCTCTGCGCATTCTTGTCACCTTCCTTAATGCTCTGCACTTTCTTTTTCCCACCATGCTTGCTCTGCACTATCTTGGGAGCCATGCTGGATTGAATACAGTACTGTGCTACAAAGCACACAAAAAAGCTTCACAGTAAGTGTCCACAGCCCTGTCTGCGACCGCAATCTCAAGTACAGGAAGCCACGGCCATGTGTCAGAGCGGGGAAGATGGCCACAGTCGTGTTCGTAACCCGATGCAGAGTTTGTGAACGGAGGCAACATTTTGACGAACTTCCTGGTCGCGAACCGAATTGTTCGTGAACAGAGGCGTTCGTGAACCGAGGTACCACTGTATTAGTATCCGTGCATCCCTAATCCAGAAACTTTGTTATTTCTCTGGAAGTTCAGGGAAGTGCATCAATCAGGGAGAGTGCAGCGTTCACATCCTAAACAGTCATACAGTTAGCTCAGTAGTTAGTAGGGAGTTGCTGTAACCACTGGGCTGTATGAAGAGCAGGGGAGTGACATAGAGCGAGGGCTTCAGTGGCTTTGACTTATAAAGAAAATATACAAGAACGTTCGTTTTGTGCATCTATTCGCAGAGAATGAATATTC